TGAAGTACTCTGCTCCATGCTCTTCTTGCCTGCATGGTTTGTGAAGAAAAGTCATCCATAATTCTAATGGGTTTTCCTTTGAATGTGATCTGCTTCTTTTCTCTAGTGGCTTTCGGTATATTATTGTTGTACTGGATTTCTGGGATCTTAACTATTATACGTCTCGGTGTGTTTTTAATTGGGTTGAAGTTATTTGGCATTCTGTATACTTCAGTTACCTGAATATCAGATTGTTTTCTCATATTTGGGAAGTTTTCTATTACTTCTGCCCATATTCTTTGTATATTATTTGTATTGACTCTATATTTCTCATTGATGTCTATTAGTCTCACATTGTTCATCTTTGCATCATCTTGCAGGTGATGGATTATTTTTTCCTACGTTCTAGTTGTTTTTAAGAGATCCTTTCTTACCTTTTCGCTAGCTGCACCAGCATCTTCAAGATCTGAAACTCTGTCTTCACTTTCACTCAAACGGTTTTGCAAGCTTGTGATTGAGATTTTAATTTTCTCTATATCTCTTTGACTCTGTTTCATGTGATCTATTTCTTTCCTCTATTGCTCATTCAAGGAATCAGTCATATTTCTAATTTCTATTTTTTAATCAATGTCTTCTTTAGAAGCAGTTACTAATTCGTTTACTGCAGAAATTTTTTTGAGATTGTGTTTCCTCCATATGTTTCTGTATTTGATTCTTTACTTCAGATTCTACAAATTCAGAGATTTATTTTTTCATTTCAGGAATTAATTCTGCTCTGAGTTCCTTTATAACTTTCTGCTCTTGTTTCTTTACTTCTGAAGCTGTTAATTCATTCATTTCAGCTGAGCTAGTGTCCTCTGCACTTGTTATGGGTGAACTTGAGGCCTGAGATTGCATTTTGCTCCTTGTCTTTGTCATTTCATACAGCACTGACCTCTGACCTTTGGTGCAGTTATAACCTTAGCACCTACTGAAATTCGGGTGCAGATCTATTAAGTTTGAGTTTATCCAATTATGCCTGGCCTGGGTCTAGCTGTTGTGTGCAGCTCCTTCCTGCTGAAGCCCTTGGAAGTGAACCTGTTATGCCCCTCTGGCACAACAGTGAACCTGTTGTGCCCC